ATGCCCCAACATGCAGGATAAACATTCTGGAAGTAAGTATTTTATCTTTCAACTCATCTGCCAGGTTGTTATAGCAACACAAGAAAATAAAATACAGGTTTTTTTTTATTGTTGGAAATGACTGGGGAAAACTGTTTGAAGACAGAGATGATTTTTTAAAAAAAGTTTTATTTTATCAGCAGAAGAGAGGAAACACTTTACACTCACAATGATGTCAGGATCTAATCAGTAGATGGCAGTGGTTTTTAATGGAAGGCTGTCTGGCAGAGTCAATGGACTGAACCTTTGCTAAATCCATGATGTTCCCAACACACAAGAGGGATGCCACAATACTTTAACCTCTTAACTTAGTTGAAGTAAAACAACACTGATGATAAAAAAAAAACAATGGTTAATTAGAGTAAGATTTTACAATAAATGAACATTTTCAAAAACAGTTTTGTGCTTTAAATAAATTGATGTTATACACACATTATTTTACATTAGAACCATTTTAGTATGTAGCACATACGAAGGGTATCACAGAACTTATATTTTGTAAGTTTACTCAGTGCAAGATAAACACTTTATCGATTGCTTTATGTTATACCTCAACTGGCAGATATTCATAGAACAGCTGAGACTGAAAGATATTTTAGTTTGTGTTGTTGCTTGCCCCTGAAAGCAAATGTCCTGACTTGATCATTTTGATCTAAATTACTAATTTTGTTAGTAATTCCCTTAGGCATTGTTTGATGGTTATTCCAAAGCAAAAGTATTATCTCGCAAAAACAGATAGAATATACTACAAATATGCTAAGACATTTTAAAAGAACCAACAAGCCCAGTTGCTACACAAAAACATAGAATGAAATCTCATACGATCATATAGTTGCAAAGATTTGATTTGACCATGCTTCACACGGAAATTCCACACATAAATGCTCTGATGTTTTGATCTTTTCCTCCACACAAAGAATTACTGAGATAATTTAACTTTGAGTTAAGTTTATGTTTTCAGAAGCTTAACTCAAAGTTTTAACATATATAATTTATGTTCTTTTTTTAATATAGTCTGTTTTTCTTTTTTATTTCACAAGATTTAAATGCAGCATGTCTCATAGCCCAATCTTGTAAACCAATAATTTTCTAACTTCCCCAAAACCCATTATAAGAAAGATGAACTTACTGTCTCTGCACAACCAAGGAAACCTTTAGCCTACCCAGGAACAAGATTACAATGGGAAAAAAATACAGAGGTGCGTCATTGTGTGGCAAGTTGTTGTTCTTGCACAAAGCAAACATATTAAAAAGTTGACAATGTTGTCTATTATAAGACACCTTCCCAGGTGGTGGCACCACGTACCTGGAAAAGACATAATACTGCCCCTTTAAAAGCAGTAGAACGTCAGGGTGTTCATTTAACATGTCATTCTACTTGGTGATGACCATCGACTTTTCCACTGAAGTGGCTACAGTGGTTCTTAACTCGTTTTGAAAAGAACTGGTTAGCTGAGAGCCAAGTCAGAGCCAAGTCATTTCCTCATAGATGTGTCATCCTGTAAATGTTTAGCCTTCCTCAGTTTCATTCTGTCTGTGAAGGATCATAGTACATAGGCATATTATGCATTCCAGTGCCTCCGCAAACAAATGATGACTAAGCATCTCAACCTGGACAGACTCACACAGAGAGTAAGTAGTTATTTGATAGTTTATTGAACAAATAATAATCATTGGCCCTCGGACACCGGCAGAAGATCTGACTCCGGTAACCGCCGTCAGAGGCGATGAGGATGAGGATTAAAGACGTCGTCCCTCCCAAGGCCCGGACACAGGAGGGACACCTCATTAGGTCTATTCTTCAAATGAACTCTGAAAAGATCACAAGGACACAAAGGCTTGTCTTTTGCAAACAGGGAGAAGCGTGTCAGACTTAGCTGTTCAGGCTAACTCCACAGAGAGCTTGCAAACCTTTAATATTTATTCTCTTCAGAGCATAGGCATGTGATCACAGTGATAATTCAACAGCAAAGGCAAGTACAGGAAATGCATTCAATATGGCAACTGCAAAGACAGGCATTTTGCACAAGATATTTCAGTTCTCTTATTTTTTTTCACAGCTGCAGAAGCGCCTACGCCTTGTCTGGAAACTTCTTTACGTTTCCAGACAAATACAGCAGTTTAAATACAGCAGATATAACAGTAAACAAATGGTTAAAAAAAGTATCAACATTTCCATCACACCTCATTTTTATTTGTATTACTGAAAGGGCCAGAATGTTAAATTGAAAGTATTTGGAAGAGACACAAAATTAGATTTTATTTTTTGCAAAAAGTTGTGAAAACACATTTATTTTAATGTTTACATAAACAAGAAACTATAGAATATTCTAATCAGTGAGAATTGTACCCCGGCATATTTGTATCTGCAACAATCAAATGATTTTGCAGACTAAAGTTATGTAAATCTTGAACTATGGTTGAGTGCCACATAAAATCATTGACAGTGCTGCAAAATGGCCCCCGCGCTGCAATTTGGACACGTGCAGACTACTTGTGCACATTCTCACATTACTCATAGCTTTAGATATGCCCCAACAAGTTCACAGGATATTCTGATAGTAAAGCTTTTGTCTTTGAACTCCAACAGTGTGGAAGCCCATCTGCCAGGTTGTTATAGCAACACAGAAAACACAAAAACAACCGACTCACTTTTTCAGCTAAGTCTGTTGGAAATGACAGAAGAAAATTAAGTCAGTTTTTAGACAATAATGATAATAATAAAAAAAGCTTTATTGTACCAGCTGAAAACAAAATTACACAAACTCCTCTATAATATCCTGACATTTGATGTCAGGATCTAATAAGTGCAGATGACTCAGTGCTTAATTATGTAAGGCTGATGGAGCGAGGTAAGGGTCTGACAAAGTGGGGAAAGGAAACATTTGTTGAATCTGTTCGACTTGGAGCTATTGACAACATAAAAAGGTGATGACAAAATATTTCAACCTTTTAATTTAGTCGATGTAAAAGAACACTGATGAAAACAAAACTGTTTTAATTAACTTAGATTTCACGCAAAAAAAATCTTTTTCTTTTATCAGTTTCATGCTTTTTGTTTCATAAAAAAAACATGTTGGTATATAAAAGAGCATTGCATGGTTTGTAGGTTTACTCAGTGCAAAATAAACATTATCAAGGCGCAGCACAGCAAACAGTAAAATGAAAAACTTAAATTGCAGAACCTCACATGATTTGTACATGTGCCAAAAATTAACAATAATAAAACAAATTCACACAGCATGAAGTTGTGCTGAGTAACGTTACTGAATATATGTTAGATAGAGTCCAAACATAAAATAAAAATTACAAATAAAACCAAAAAAGAAACCCTTAAATATGATCCACTATGGTTAAATGAAAATGCATAAATTTAACAAGTCATAAGTCGAGGTTAAAATATAATACAACAAACATCCAACATGTTCATCCTCTATACAACGAGGGTACAATGATGAAAAAATTTCCAGATTTTTTTTCATTAAAAATCTGGAAATTCTAAGATTTTTGATGAAAGGTTATGCAAGTTTAGCACCAAAATGAGCCTGAAATCAACTGCACAAACTACCTGCTGCTGGATTAACAACCATAATCCTGTCCAAATCAAGGAGACGACAGTTGCTTTGGTTGGAGCTGTAAAAAAAAAAGAAAAAAAAGCTAAGCTGCACCTCAGCCACATGCATTTTGAACCCATCAGGTTCCTTCTATAATTTTTGCACTCTTCTCAGCAGGTGAAGATAATTTAATCTGGTTGTTTCCCTGGTACAGAGCTGGTTTTACTGCATAGGCTACATATTTTCAACAGGATTAAGAATGTGGCTTTGTGAAAGTCACATTAAAAGGTTAATCTTAGCTTGCTTTATCCATTTCCAAACCATCTTTTAGTCAGGGCTTGAATTAAAAAAAACTCTGTGCTTGTGATAAGAATGAAATCATAACATATTGTTGCACATTCTTTAAAAATGGTATTTGAAAAGTGCAAACAATTGCTTTTAACAGCACAACAAGCAAGCAAACTTCAAGTAAGAATGTTATAATGTATGTGAACAAAACACATATACAAAAAAGGTATACCCTTTTTTTTGGTATACCTATGCCATAAACTGTGCCCTCACGGAAACTCAAAAAGCCACATTCATTAATTGACATTTAAATCAATTAATTAGCAAAAAATGTAGCATAGTCCATACGATAAGCTAAAGGAAGAAGTTACCCAGAGCTGGATAAAGATCATGCTGTAGTTTTTCCTGATTCTTTAAATGTTCTGGATTCTCTGTGGGTGCAGCAAGAAAATATCTGGTTGATCCAGTAGTTTTGTTTGGTCTAGAGAAACTGGTGGTCCGAGAGAGGTTGTTGCAGATGAGTGAAAGAGGCTACATGTCCCAAATGGTGCTTTAACGTGTTCAGAAAATTGGGCTGGAGAATTATAGATACTAAAGTTTCTGGTAAAGTTTCAAGGTGCACAAAAAGGGATGAAAATCTGGTGAGGCGAAAACTCCACCAACACTAGAAATGTTGAGAAAACTTTATTAGCAGGTTCAGACAATTCAGCTTGTACCGTCGTGATAGGTAAACTTGTTTCCTCAGTATTTCAAGTGTTGCAGGAGCTTCAACTTAGAGCCCTCTACCACTTTACAATCTTCACAAAATATTTTCATAAAAGCTAACATTTCAACACTAATAGACGGTGTTTGACTTTTGGGAGATGAAAAAAAGTACTGTGCTTTTAGTTGCAGCAGTGTGCAACACCTTTTTATACCAGCAAACATGACAACATGCATCTGATAAACCAGACTTGTGTCAAATGGGCAGCAAGGCGGCACAAAAAGTCAAAGTACCACTTTAACACAGTAGTTATGGCAACTTGAAATACAGATGGGTCAATCGAAAAGAAAAACTGATCCCAGAGAAGACTTTGAACGTCCATCATTTCCTGAAGTAAGTTTGCTACATTTCCGTAGTAAGCTTGTGAATGTGGAGCTTTATTAAGGTTAAGAAACACAGTTAAACCCTTAGTGCAACCGGAAAAGGAAGTTTGTTTCTACAGTGGTAATAATTTGGAAATCTCAAAGGCAGAAGACAAATTCAGCATTTCTAAAAGCACAGAGCCAAGCACGTACAAACAGGCCCTGAACATGCACCACCAATAAAAGCACTCAGTTCTAAAATGAACTAACGTTTCACCAAGCACAAAATCTTACAGTTAAGCCATCCAACATTCAATTATGCAAAAGTCAGATTTCTTTTGGACTGGTGGGAGGAGGTTAATAGATAGTTCTTGGGATAGTACACGATCCACTTCTTGTCACAAAAACGGCGCCGAGGATGATGATCACAATTCCCAGAGTCAGAAATACTCCCAGCAGGGCTGCCATGATGGTATAATTATCTGTGGGAGATGACAATTTCTGTTACATTCTCATTCTTTCTTGCAAAAGAATAGTGTCTTTTGTTTATGATAAGCTACACATCCCAAAATAAGGATTACAACAAAGAGTACATGAAGCCCCAGCAGTGGTCTCCGGTTGACCACCTATTAGACAACAGTAGCATGGAGGGTTATTGACAAACAGTACAACAGAAGGAAAAGATAATGTAGGATTGCTAGAGAGATGTGATTACCTTTAGGTCTGTTGAGGTGGAAATACTTGGTTGTTTTATTCACAACATTAGAGGCTACACATTTCCAGACTCCTGGAGTCCTGAAATCCAAAGTTAAAATTGGCCCAGTCGCATTTTGGTCCCAGGTCCACTTTAGCGTATCGTTCGCAAAGTGCCACTCGTAACGTGGAGTAGGGTTTCCTGTAGCCGTGCAGTTCAAAGATATTTTTGTGCCAGTAACATTTTCCAGGGTCTCATTTTTAGGCTCAGTAAGGATTGGTGGATCTGATGATGAGCATTAAATTATGTAAAGAGAAGGAAAAAGAGGAATTAAAAATACAGACAGACTGACATTTAGCTGCAAAAATGACTCCTTTTGATGAATAGACAAACTTACAGTAAACTGTTAATTCATACAACTCTGATCGCATCGGCTGAGGACGTTGTTTTGCTGGTAAGTCTAGCTTTGCTTCACACCAGATCTTCTTTCTGTTATCCTCTGCAACAATGTCTACTGTTGCTTCAACAGACCTATTGACTGGATGTCGACCGGTACCTTCAAACTTCTGCTCATGGAACATTTTATCTCCTTTGTACCAGGATATGATAAGTCTGTTTACTGGTGCAACATCAAAAACTAAGCACTTTAAGAGATGATATTTATCATCTGCCATCAGAGGGCTCGGAGGCTTTGGCATAGATACCTTCGCTGGCATTTCTACAGCAAAAAGTGATACAGGAAAAAAGTTAATTAGGACATAAACAGTATTTTTTATCAATCTATATTAATATGAAAAGTATCCACAGCATATTTGGTTATTTCAAAATTGTATAAAATTTATATTTTTTATCAAAATTCTACATGCAAATACCCCATTATGAACATGTGAGTTTGTAAGTTTCTATTTATTAAAAATAGAAACCAAGAAATCACATTTATGCAAGCATTTACAGATTTTGCTTAATATGTTGACCCAGCTTTGACAACTGCGGCCTCAAGCCGAGTTGAATATAAGGCCACAAGCTTAGCTCACCCATCTTTAGGCAGTTTCACCCATTCTTCCTTGAAAGGTTTCCAGTTCAATCAAGTTTGATGAGAGACGTCTGTCTGGCATTTACAGATTTTTCCGGAGATGTTCTATCAGATTCAAGTCTGGACTCTGGCTTGGCCACTCCAGGACATTTACAGAGATGTTCTGAAGTCACTGTGAGATCTTTACAGTGTGCTTCACCTGAGTCTGAAGTCCAGATGACTCTGGAGCTGGTTTTCATCAAGTATGTCTCTGTGGATTGCTCAATTCATTTTTCTCTTTATTCTGACTAGTCTGCCAGTTCCTTTTGCTGCAAAACATCCCCACAGCATGATGCTGACACCAATATTCTTCATTCCAGGCATCATGTTTCCTCCAAACATGATGCCTGGTATTCACAGCAAAACGTTCAAACTTGTTCTCATCAGACCACAGAATTTGGTTCTTTATGGGTCTTAAAATCCTTCAAGGGCCTGTGGGTAAACTCCTGTCATGTGCCTTTTATTGAGGAGTGGTTTTCCTCTGGACACCCTGGTTACCTTCCTGACTAAAGCCCTTCTCTGATGATCTCTCAGTTTAGATGGCCGACTAGCTCAAGAAGAATCCTGATGGTTCCAAACGTCTTCCATTTATGAACGATGGAGGACATTGAGATTAAGACCATTAGAACCTTCAAAACAGCACACACCGCTATGCATCCTTCCCCAGACTTCTACTTCAAGACAATCGTATTTCAGAGGTCTACATACAATTTCTTTGATACAATTATTGGTGTTTTTGATCTTACCTGCAGTGTCCACTGTAGGACTTTATATAGACAGGTGGTGTGCCTTTTCAGTCAACTGAATTTACTACAGGTGGTTTCTACATTTAAGTTGTAGAAACATCTCAAGGACGATCAGGATGATCATGAATTTAAATTTTCATGGTGAAGGCTTATGTAAATGTGATTTTTTTTTTTCTTCCATTTTTAATAAATTTAGAAAACACTCAGCCTTTTTTTCTACATTGTCATGATGGGATAAGAGATTAATTCATATTCATACAACTTGTAAAGATTGCAAATGAATACTTCCCAGATTCATTGTGTGTGTGTGTGTGTATATATATATATATATATATATATAGGTATGTGTGTGTGTGTGTGTGAGCATCTTACATAAGACTGTCACATTTATTAATCAACTTACTTACTGTAAGTAACCCTCCCGACCCCACTAAGGAACAAGGGTGTAAAGAAAATGGATGGATGGATGGATGGATGGATGGATGGATGGATGGATGGATGGATGGATGGATGGATGGATGGATGGATGGATGGATGGATGGATGGACGAACTTACTGTAAATAGTAAATGGTAGCTTTTGAATATCCTGTGAACCATTAGAGAACGCAGTATAACATTTTGGTTCAGTTTCCCAGTCGTCAACATTGTCAAGGTTCACATCTAAAGTGGTGAGTCCCTCTTTTAGGCCAGTTCCTCCAAATGAAGACTCCCAGCCAATCCCATCCACACTGCTGCATGATGTATTGCAGTTGGCTACCGTAGAACCTCCAAATTCCAAATATACCATCGGGGGAGTGAACTTAATTCCACAGCCATGTGCACGCTTTCCTAGATGGACACAGTTGACATAAATTAAGTAAAAGTTTTTACTGCACAAACAGCCATTTAAAACGGCCCTGCTAAAGATTTATTGGATTAGTACTGATAAACCTATAATTTAAATAATCTTCAACTAATTCAATAATTAATTAATCAATCGTTAACTGGAGTATACATATTCAAAACCAGGCCATTTGCTGAAATAACACAACACTCAGAGAAGTAATTAAGACAAAACAGTACAAATGATTATTAGGACACCTGCAGGATTCTTGTCGTTAGTTTGGGAACTTACCCATTCTGCAAGACTGATTAGTAACTTTGGACACCTGAGCAACTGCTAAAGCCAGTTATTAAACCATGACTGCAAACTAACTCATCTCTGCTCTCCACCACAGGTAGGCTGCAGCCTTTTGCTTGCAGATTTCAACATACATTATCCTCCCATTGATGCCAGTCTGTAACTATGTTCTATTCAGAACTCCTCAAATGGAAATTTTATAGGTTCCCCTAATATTAAAATGAGTTAATAAACTCCTATTGATCACATTTTGCTATGTAATTATTAACAGGCAAATTAAAAAATTATAATCAGAATAGCCCTATGCAGTATAGATGTTAAGTCAAGTAGAATAAGCTAAACGTTTTACAGGTAAATGTCAGAAGTATTTTTTTTTAGCTGCAGATTCGTCCTTTGCTACAAATGATCAAGCATACACTAAAGCAAGAAAATTATTTTCTTATTTTAAAAAAGAAATTGAATTGAACTGCTACTACTGCATAAAATAAAGTCTAAGTGGTTAAATGATAAATCTAAAGAATGTGCCAGTTTTAATCCAATTTATCAATTAATCAGAATAAACAATAGAGTAATCTATTATTAAAATAATTGTTAGCTGCAGCCTTACAGCTAAATCAATGAAGCAGTGATAACAATTACCAATAATAATTCTTATTATCATTATGAAATACATGAAATAAATACATGGACTTACAACAACAGTCATTGTGATTATACAGTGGAAAACATAAATAAAGAAAACATCAAGATTTCTCTCATCAAATATTTAGAATTAAATACTGAGCTTCAAAAAGACCTGGAAAGAGCAGGTACAGTTTTAAAATAAGAAGCCTTCCACAATATTGCTCCAATATGCACAGTTGGAGCAAAAGACTCCACTGCTGAAGGAAAAAGAAAAATTGAAGCTTTTTATAAAATTGGAAGAAAAATGATTCTGCATATCACCACAAAATAAAACAACCTGAGGTTTGCAGGTTGCAACATCATCCTTTGGGTATGGCTGTCTTAGAGAATGTGGTAACCTCACAGGGAAACTCCGAAAAACCGTTAGCATAGGAAAAAAAGAAGTCTGTAAATGTTTCTGCCTTTTTTGGGTCAGTCCTAATATAACAAGATCTGATATAAAAATATTTTAATGAAGCAAATAAATTCTTGTCTATATGAATGCTGCATCACTACAGGTTTCATTGGCTATGGCATGTTCTTGAATCATAGAACCATCCACAACATGGCAGCATGAGAGCAACATGTTTTCACCTTAATTATATGATTTTCTATAAAAACCAAAGGAAAACTCAACCCAGCATGCTTTACAGCAACATAGTGATCAAATATCCAGTATCCTTAAGTGTTTGTGTTGCTGAAATATTATTTTAAGCAACATTTCACTTTTCAAACTGCATCACTTGATTTTCTCAGGTTTTCTATAGTGCTTTGAAAAAGAAGTTCTGGCAAACAAGGGTAATTTTAATTTCTCCCAATGCTCATATTATTTACCTAACACATCCATGTTTCTTTAAAAGGCAACACACTTTCTCAGCAATGTGTAAATTAAAAATAACTAAAGACAGCTGTTGAAGGTATGCAATAAATGACAATGGTTCATGACATGCCTTACACAAGTTTTTACCACTTTATTTGCGCTGCAAGTTTACGTACCTATACATTTTCCATACGTTTTGTCTCTTCTATAAGCTACTGGATGGCTTATGAAATCAGTAGTCATTAAAATATGATTCCAGTTCAGAAGTAATAAAGAGTAACCTCAGAGTATTCCTTAGAAAGAGGGCGTCGGCTGAGAAATGAAAACCGACGCGCTAATATGACAATATCGGTGGTAAACTACTGTATCAGCAGAAGCAGTCAAGAAAAGCAGCAATGAAAGTTTAGTTACCTGCGTAGATCATAAAGGCGAAGAACAGAAACAACCGCATCGTGGTTTTCGGCACTGCTGGGCGTTCAGAGCGAAGGGAAGTACGGTTATGGTGACACAAACTTCTCCCTAGATCCGCAGAGATTACGCTACAGTATGGCGCTTCTGCTCCGTCTCAGAACACTGGGAATCATTGAAAGCAAAAGCAAATGTGGTGCGTTTACGTGCATTTCGTAAAGCTCCCTTTCGTGAGTCAGAGCTCACAACATGTTGCAGCAGGTAAGCGTAAGTCCCACGCCCTTTGCTTCTCAGTGGTATCAAGAAGTAGTAAGTACATTTTAATAAAACGAGCCTTTCGTGACATTAATTTACGGTAATTTAATGTTTTGGAGTGATTTTTTTTTTCACAACAGCTGACGGTGTTCTGTTCATGAAAAACAGAACACCGTCCGAGGAACAGCATCTGCGGTTGCTTTAACGATCCAAAGATAGTTCCTCCTAAGTGTTGAAAGGTCAAAACTGTTTTGTTTTTTATCAGACGCACGTTTTCGTTTCACCTGTGTTGCTCTAGTTTTCTTTCAAGTACAGAAGTAAACATAAATAAAAAGCATATTGAATCACTTAGCATGTTTGATTAAAAGAAATGATTGTGGCTAATAGAGAAACCCCCAAGTACATTAAACTAAAGTACTTTTCTATTGTCTAAATTTATTTTAGACAACGTGTTATGAAAATGCATAAGTTTAATAGTTAAAAAAAACGATTTACACAAATGTAAATATTTACAGCAGTATTCACAAATGTATACAGTGTGTTGTTCTTTCACATATCACAATCGAGGCTGCTAAAGTTCCAACATTATCTGCAACGTTTATACATGCAGTCCAATTTTAAAGCCAACGTTAAACTGTTCTTCATAAATAAATAGAAAGTTTTTCATTTACATAAAAATATTTTCCTGAATTTACATGTAAAAGCTACAAATGGCTGCAGTCACTCATAGAAAAAAAAAACAAAAAACACATTAAAGTGTTGAACAAGAGAATTTGTTCATTAGGCTTGAGCCTAGCACAGTATGGCACCACTCACAAAGGGCTGACACAGTTGGAGGATGCAGATTGTATGCAAAACACAAAAGTGCAGGGAAGTTTTCCGAATATACCTCAACCTTCACTGAGTTATTGAGACCAGTTAAAAATAAATGGATATAACTTCTTAGTGACAAATTAAGTTTTACGTTGATTTTAAATGCTCAAATTTTGCCTGGTTTCTTAATGAACTGAGTAAACACTGAAGAAAGGTCGAAGACACACAAAACCAAAGCAAAAACAATAATCATAACGCGCTCCTTTCTTATGAAAAATACATCTCTTTCATCTCAGTCAATTTTTCCCTTCTCACCCCATTCTTCATTTTGCCTGATCCAGTAAAACAAATGAAGATCTGACTATTTTTTCCTTCATCATAAAAGCATGAAACTTCTTTAAGAATAAAATGTGGAGAAGCAGATGCGACAATAATATGAGCAGCAGAAGCTATTCTCAACCGCTCCAAGTGTGAATCTGAATTCAGACCGAGAGGATATCCTTCATGTGCCGTTGAAAGGAGTGCTGCTAAGACAGCTTGGTGACTGGTAGCTGGATGTCCCAGCCGTTGTGAGCCACATTCCCGTTGTGAATGCTGAGTTTAGGGTTTTTAAGGCTGTAGCGACGCATTTTGGTGTTCTTGTAGTAGATTGAGTAGATGAAGATGAAAATGATGGAGATAGCCACAACTGTGAGAGCCACAAATCCAGCTAGGAGGGGCAGGTAGTCCTCTGAAAGCAGAAAAATAACATGTTAATGCAAAAGAAACAAAACAACACTAAAATTCAAGACTTCTTGTTGGTTAAGAGGTTTAAAATTTATTTTTTGTGTGTGTGAAAATGCATAAACCTTTTTTTTTTATTTTTTCAGCACCCAAAGAAAAACAAAAATCTACATTTACTGATTATTCAAAATAATAATAAGCTGTTTTTGCCATTCGAAGCAGATGTTCTAGGTAAGGTTTTTGTTCTGAACACATAACTACATCTGTGCAGAATTTATTGTCCGTTACTGGTCAGCACAATTTGCCTATTAAGTTTATCTTTATATATTTCAGTTTTTCTTTTTTAGATTTTGATTGTACAAGCCTTTAATGACTGTAATCTGATGGGAACTGAGCAGACAGAAAACGGTGAAAAACTTGGAGAAACGGTCCTTGGATCGAGAATCAAACTGCAGACACCTGAAGACCAGTGGCCTCCGTACAGTATAGGAGACATTTACAGTAAATGCTCTCAGTTTCATCATCTTGGACAGATGACGAGTTGGACCTCTGCACAAAATCTTCTCTAGAACATCCCAAAGTCTGGACACAGCATTGACCAATCCATGTGTAGAAGCAATGTCTTTTGAGTCCAATCTGAGACCCATGAATCCTGGCATTGCCGTAATCAGGTAACTGATTCACCTCATTCTTTCAGCAAATAATGTAACTGAACCTGGACCTGACAAAAAGCAGCAACCCTCTGGTCCAGCTTGTCACGTTTACAACTTCTTTTCTTAGGCTTTTGGTAAGAAGTGAAGACTAAAGAGACACAGTCTCTTTAGAACCTGCTGCTACTGTTCTGCTAAATAAAATTAAACCACAAACCATGATTATGATTTGATTTCATCAAACATTCAAGTCATAACCGACTAGCATCTCTTCCAAGACCACATAATGTGGCAGGGAGGGATTTTTTTTTTTCTTTTGGACAGGTGGTGTGATATGACTGGTGACATAGAAGCATACTATGACGTTTAAAAACACTTTTGAACCGGGGTCTTCAAATCCAGGCTTCGAGGGCCGATTTCTGGAAGTTTCTAGATGTGTCTCTGGTCCCAAAACACCTGAATAAAATGGCTGAATAACCTTTTCAGTTTGCAGTCAAGTTATCCAGAGTCCTGTTGATGAACTCTGTATTTGAGTCAGGTGTGTTGAAGCAGAGTCGCATCTAAAGGTTGCAGGGCGCCAGCCCTCGAGCCCTAGAATTGAAAACCCCTGCTCCAGGAGACAGGATGAATATAATTAGGTCTATCATCATCAGCAGCAACATGAAGGCTGTGACATTAACAAACTAATGCACTAAACATTACCATCGTCGCATCAAACATTAACCTGTCCTGTTCTGACACAGCATGCGTTTGGTTTATGGATGGACCCTACTTACTTTGTTCCTAAAAAACATTTTTCACATTCATGTTTTGCAAGTGAAATTACTTTTCTTCATAAGCTTTCAAAGAAAACGTCTGACAGTTGTGCTGAAGATTCATTTAAAGCAAACCACTATGAATCAAACAACAGGACCCGTACAGTAAGTGTACGAAATATAAAATTCCTCAATTTTATGTTTTTTTTTTTTTCTGAACCTGCAGAGCTTTAAAATTATCGCAGCAAATCTCTTTTCCAAAAATGTGTTTTCTCCAACAGGATTTTAGTTACCTGTTAAAATGACTTTAACCTCATGCTTGACAATGGCAAGACTGTTATTAGCAGTGCAGATGTATGTGCCTTCTTCATTTACAGTGAGCATGCCATTTGACCCAAGAAACGCCGTGGCTGTGTAATTCCATGTGACCGTTGGGGCCGGGTTGCCGTCAGCCTCACAAACAAGCTCCTCTTTATAACCACTGATCACTGGGACCAATTCAGGAAGCTTTGTAGTGTTAATCCTGGGTTTATCTGTTGAGACACAGAGGAGAGAAAATGTGAGATAATGACATTTATTCCGATAATTTGACTTATAATTAGTATTTTGTCCAATAATTGAAGTGACACAATCTCCATCAGTAGAGCCTTTAAACACTGACTGTAATGAAGTAAATGTAGTTCTCACAGTGGACGCTGAGTGTGAATGGATCAGATGTCATAAGAGGAGGAGGCTGAGGACCTTCGGGTCCCAGGTTCAGTTCAGCTTCACATTTGACCTGGAGTCCATGGAGAGTCCTGTTCAGAGTGATGTTCCTGGTGCAAACCACCGTTACAGGAAATTTATCCTCAGGAAAGCTGCATTCCGACTTATTGATGATTCTCACTGAATCTGAGGAATAAAACGATAAGAAAAACACTTAAGTCCACAGTGCTATAAAAAAAGTTCTGCTTTTGTTTTTTTTCTTTTTCTGTTACACTTAAATGTTTCAGGTCACCAAACAATTCATCAGAGATCAAAAATAACCTAAACAAATACAATCAGCGGTTTTGAGATGTGGATATAATTTTTAAGGGGGGAAAAAAAGCGATTCAAACGAACCTGGGAGTAATGGCCTCCCTGAGTAAATCATGAATGAACTGTGATTACCCATACTTTTAATTCAGTTTCACTCTCCGTGGCTAAGATTAATCACCGTCTCTTCTTTAGGATCAAGAAATCACTTAAATAGAATGCATCTGATCACATGGACAAGATCTCTAAAAGCAGCTACTCCATCATGGGGAAAAAAAAAATTATTTTGCATTCCCTCGAATAACCTTTGCGGTTCCTCACAATAGGTTTCAATAGCATAACTGAATACTGCAAGTCTTTCCAACAGTCACCACCATACTTTCTGCTATAATATAAGGTTTTCTTAAAAGTTTTTTTTCATGTACGTTAATGTCTCATTTGTGAGATATCCGAAGTTGTGTATCTTTTTCTTTAGGGTAGAAATGCATCACAAACCTACAAAATACAAAAGCAAAACAGGTCAAACATGGGCTTTCCATCTCCCATCTAAGATATAAACAAACTTTACATCTGAAGGAACGATAGAAAAAATATGTTTGACTGACACAAGTTTAATTTTAAGTTGATGATTAATGATTTATCTATTTTTGGAACAACTCATGGTCTTTGGGGGCAAACTGGTATCTGCATATGCTGTGTTGGTGAAACCTTTTCCAAAGTAATGTGTAAAAAAAAAAAAAAACACTGCCACATGTCACAAATATTAGATGGTAGTTGTTGCCACCAAAAGTGGCACAACCAGTAATTGAGTTATTCACATAGGGCCAGTTTGGGATTTTAATTTTCTCTGTTGCTTGTATTTGCACAGGTTATTGCTGATATTATAGTTTGTTTGATGATTTAAAGCTTTTATTTGCCAGGCAGCAAATATTTTACACACCAGTTTAAGCATTTTGTTTGTAAAATGTGTAATACAACAGAGAAGAAAGCCGTGAGGACTCCTTGGTAAACGATAAGATGTACTTTGCTGAGATTGTT